TACATAAATGAGCTGCCTTTTGTTGACCCTAATCTAAAATTTATTATGTTTGCTGATGACACCAATCTTCTTGATAGTGATTATGATTTAAATGAACTAATGCAAACTTGAATTCAATAGATGACTGGATAAAAGCAAACAAACTTTCACTTAATATTGGCAAAATCAATGCTATTCTATTTGGACCCCAAAAAATCAAACAAATCTGAATCTCAAAATACGCAATGAGAACATAAATTTCCGGGATAAAATTGACTTTCTTGGAATTATTATTGATAAAAACTTGAAATTTAAACAGCACATAAAATCTATTGAAACAAAGATTTCTCGCGTCATTGGTTCTCTTTATCACATTAAACATCTACTTCAAATAGACAGTTTCAAAACAATTTACTACTCATTGATACACTCTCAATTGAATTATTGCAACATAATCTGGGGTAACACATTTAAATCATTTTATGATCGTCTACATAAACTGCAGAAACAATTCTTAAGGCTAGCTTTAAATAAGGATAGACTTTCTCACTCCGCTCCCTTATTTGAAGATCTTAACATATTAAATATTTTTGATGTCAACAGATATTGTACTGGTCAGTTCATGTACAAAATCTTTAATAAGCACCCCAGTCTTCCAAAAAATCTATTTCAAGACTTGTTTGATATCAACATTAATATTCATCATCATTACACAAGACAATTGCATTATTTTCATATCCCTAAATGCTCTAAATATTCCCTTCGCTATCTAGGTCCTAATCTTTGGAATGCTCTACCACATGATATTAAAAAATGCTCCACTCTAAATATTTTCAAATCTTCATATAAAAAACTACTCATCTATCGATAATGTATAATACCAATATCATACTATACTGTTGATTTTATACTGATACCTGATTTTTGTAACATTTTTACATTGTACATCCTTAGATTAATTGTTAATACCATTTTTATATACCTACATGTAACATAATATAAGTGTTTTCTTTTATATGTAGTCTAGATGTCATTTAAATGATTTCTGTTAGACCGCAACATATACCCACTAGGGTGTCTAGCGGCTTGTTTTTATAGTGTATATTATATAAGAAATATGAAATAAATTGAATTGAATTGAATTGAATTATATATTTATTATATATTTTTATTTTTTGGGATCCTGTTTTTACGGCGTTCGCATTAAATACAAACCACTCTGTTACGTCACGTATATGACGTTCGTTGAATTATCGCAATCAAAATGTCAGACGAAATGGAATTTCCATTGCAATTTATCTGACTATTCAATGTTCGCTGGATAATAATTCCCAATGGGATGAAACGGACAATCCTATAGTTTTTCAAAAATATCACTTATATCCACTCATGGATATCAGTATCTTCACTCATTCGTTGCGCTCACTCGCGAAGATATCAATATCCACTCATGGATATAAGTGAGAGTCAAAATAAAAACGGTATTTTTGAAATCAGTGGTAAAATATGATATTTTTGGCAAATTTTCACTTAACCATAGCATACGGTGTTTTAGCCATGACATGCGGCGCCGTATGCCATGGTTTATGGATTTTTGCTACTTTAGACTCAAAACGAGGCTAAGTGTCAATATCGCCGTATCGTTTGGAAAATTCGTTTTAGATCACTTAATTCCCGAAGATTCTGATGATGACTTTAACTATGGAATATAAAGAACATCCTATGATTTACTCGTGATATGATTTTAATCTCTCGCTACGCTCACTCGTGCAGATACCATATCCATTCGTGGATAAAAATCATATCACTCATAAATCATAGGATATCCTCTATTTAAGATGTGATATTCGATAGTTTAAAAGTGATATTCGATGGTTCGTAAATTGTTTGCTAAAATATGATATCTTGATCCACATATCAAATATATCATCATGTGATATTCGATCTATATCCTCCTTGCAACCATGGGATAAAGCTTTACGTCCCGCTCCAAGCGGGCAGATGTAGTATATCTGCCCGCTACGTCATAATCGCCGCTTGCATATTTGTTCATAATTTGTAACGTTCGCGGAATGACTGTAAACGGCAATGGAGAAAACACAGACAATCAGGGTCTGTTTGATAGTTAAAAAAGGGAGAGAGCATCCACTTTATCAATAAAAAATTCGAGAAAATAAATATGGGATTATTTGAGAGAACATGAAAATCCGCCCACGGCCAAGAAAACAAAACTGGACATGAATATTCTAAAATATTTCCACGATTTAACAATGTGAACCAGATGACCAAGATTGGTATGGGATAAACATATTATCCTATAGTCAGGATATTGGGATTATCCCTTGGCCATTATATAGGGGTTATGCAATTGGAGGTTTTGGATACAGGGAATATCCCGAGAGATATACAATATTTCTTCCCGAGGGACCAAGGGAAGACATATTATGTATCCCTCGGGATATTCCCTGTATCCAAAACCTCCAAGTGCATAACTGTTGTATATAGTTTAGCATGATATGTACTTCTTTCTGTAACTGGAATACGATTCTAATATACAAGCAGCACATACGTATTCCCGGGGAACCATAAATATTTTGTGTAGTGTGTGGACATTTTTCTTTTCATTTCTCTAAAATCAGATTATTCTCATAAAATTCATACAAAGTTGGGCCTAAGCCTCTATTTTCGTATTCTGCATGTTAAGATATTTATAATGTAAAACCTAAGAGATAAATTCAATGTCTTCAGTTGAGAATAAGTATAAGGTAAATGTGTGAATTCTGCTTGTTGTTGCACTATTTTTATAATAAACAAGGTTCGATACGCAACACTGAATAGACTGCAGTCATAGCTTAGTTGTAAAGAAAACAAAAGAAGTTGGGACGTGGTCATGCTTGAATACGATTTTAAATATATCGCCGTTTACATTTGTTGAAATCGGCCTGTATTAATTTCAACAGGTGATCGGTGTACAAGGGCATATATTTGAGTTATTGGTTTAACGATAAGTATGACCTATGAGTGGGTAACGTTTTACAAATGCAAGAAACAAATACTCCAATGGCCTAATCTCAATTTTCCTGCATAAACTATTACATTGAAATGATGGTCATTTGCTCTCTAACTTCCGCACCGCATACGTAACTTCATAACAATTCAATAAGCCAAGACAGGACCGCTATAATCGCTACATGCCAGTGGATTTCAGTCATATATTAAGTCAATTTCACGTGCAAACGTTGAGTAGACATTGCTTTTCCCGGACGCCCAGGCGTGTCAGGAACACATAGATACTTGAATGATCTTGATTGGACATCAGGTTGCCGAGAAATCGTAATTTTACTGAGTGGCTTGACGAAAATCACCTTTCCCCAAAGTCCAAAGTGTACTCATTTGACCGCTGTGCTGATTGGTCGATGAAAATCAATGACGTCAAAGCAGGGCACATTTCGCGCCAAAACTTCAATTACTATTAGATCGCCCAATGAGTGAAATAGATCGCATTATAAAATGATAACAAAAATAAGTGAAATATTCTTTTCTGACTAGTTTGCCTTAAGCTGTGTCTTAAATACACAATCCGGTAAATCAAACCATAGAAATAATTGTGATACGAGTGCTAGCCTTTTAACAAAGTTCATCCAATTACGCAAACCAAAAATTGACAATCATTCAAACAATAAGACTGTAAGTTACTGTATGGATTAGGAATATACATTTATCATGATTATTCAATTAAATAGTTCATTATGTTTCTTATAAAAAATATATGAAGAACAGTTTTAAATGTCAGAGTCCACTTGCATTTTTGAGCGGAAGGTCAGATATTCTTTCAAAATTATGCAGCTTTTCACCATTCTGAGCACTTTTTGCATGATTTTTTGCCAAAACTGTCAAAAAGCTCCCCCTTGGTAAACTGCTCCCCCAGGTAAATCCTGACTTCGGGGTTGAATTGCCGGAGTTTCTCTCTTGTTGGTCTACGTCCAAAAATATCCTGAAAGATCTCTAAAAAGTTCGATATTTAAAAGAACGCCCATGGGCTTTTCAAGAGATAAATCTCTTCAAATAAACGGTCGTCGGTAAAACAAGCAACTCTGGTACATTGTCTCAATACGCATACATGAACGGCCTTAAGATTGTTAAGATTGAAATTAGTCATCACTCATGTAACCATTGTCAAATTCTTCGGCAGACATAAAAGTAACATTGTCATGTGGTATAATAGGTGGCTGAACGTAAGTGAAAGTAACGCTTTGGCCCAGATTTGAGAGTCAAATACTTTTTCTTCAAGGTTAAGCCGTACCCCTTCTTCACCCCATGAGAAAATATTACACAAACTTAAGATTACCATGGGATGTTGACATTTTGACAGTCAAGAACTAAACATGGGGTTTTGTACAGTTGGCGTAATTTGAAAATGTACAGTACATCAATATTTTTCTATTCTTTTGATTCCCCAGAACAATATAAAGAAGGGGGAATATAGACGTGAGTATAATTAATTAAATTCCATTACATTTATCATAAATATTATTACTACTTAACATAATTTGACAATACAATTAACCCATTTCCGTCAAGATTCACATTGACTTCTAATGTGTTAGGATTTTCCCGCGAAAATCTGCCCTACTCTGACGTCAGAGATTTCAGATTTGCTAATTATAATATTCATGAGCTGACTTTGGGGAAAGGCACCTCGTTAAGTCGACGTAATTTGGGGCTAGGTGTTTCCTTTCATTGTAGTGTTGTGTAATGTTTTTTTGTCTTTTTGGTACTTGAAATTTCATATATATTATTTCTATTCATTTTATATTATAGCAAACATTTTGGTTCGGCTTGGACAATGTACATGAGTACAAGTACATGTAGTTTGACATGGAGACTGTTACAAGATATTTGTATTTGTTAAAAGTTAAGGACCACTAATATTGTATGTAAACAAAGTAAAAAGTGGTCCTTAACTTTTTTTGAGAAGTATATTATCTACCACTTTCGAGGACAACTTGTGACATACGTACCTTGCCAGGTATTCTCATATACCTTTGTGACCAGTATGTAGATGATATGTAGTACCAGCATTGTTCCATATGATATCACCTGCACCCAAGCCGAGCCTCTAAAACCCCAAAAAATATTTATAGTGTCTGACAGGTATTTAGGTGTTGGAATCTCCAGGGGGAATCTAACCATATGAACAACGTATTTTAAATTTACAGTATGCTCATTCCAAGCAAAAAGATCTAGAACAACTCAAGGGCAAAATCCAAAGAGAAATCCAGAACATTCCACCGGAATTATTATCAATAAATGTAATGAACAATGTAGCATGTAAAAAGGAAAGGGTTTCAAAGCATCAAAAAGGCAAGACTGAAATAAAAATGGTGTATTGGGGAGAAAACGTTCATGTTTGGCTACATGAACATCCAAAAGATGTCCGACAATATTGATTGGTTTATTTGTGCTGTTGATATACTTTTGAGTACATATTTGAGACATCCTGTATACTCATGAATGAATGATTGATTTCTTACTGTATGCCGAAATTCCACACATAAATGACAACATAGTGCAGTACGGCATTGACTATATTAGCGAACGCTCCAATTATAAGAGATGGATAGACTATGTTCTGATGCTGGAGGTATTTGGAGAAGACTTGATAGAAAAAGTTCAGCTGGAAACACAAATACACAAAACAAAACAACGCTAATGATTTACAAGTTTTAGACTTTACAATTATAAAAACAGTTCATGATGAACAGTAGTTCAAGCAAGGGCGTTACAATACCCGGGAATTTATCGGTTCGTGCAGTACTTGTTTGTGATAGCGCCCTCTGTAGGTCACTGTGCTTATAGCCTACAGTAATACGGGGTAGGATATCGGGAATTCGGTCAGTTTCTATCCGTCGATTACGCTATGAATTGAAGCAAGTGTTACCACTTTATCCACTTAAACAATTTGATAATTGATTAAATCTTTGAACAAAATCGATAAACACGTTATACACTTCCTATCTCCTTAGAAATTAGCATGTATTTATGGATTGTGTTTTCGAACAAGGCTCGACCCATACCAATAGGGAAATCCTTATGCTAATGAGTATGACGTCATATTTTCCTGGGGAATCCTAGATTTCAAAGACTCAGTCTGTTATTGTGTCAAATGTAAACGCTCTTTTGCAGACAGAAAATTGACAGATTAGCTTTTAACTTTCAGCTTTGATGTTTAAATATTCTGTATTTCTACCGGACTTCTTGCTGAATATCATATTATGTTATAACTTGATTTGGACCATTGCCTGATTGATCATAGTGAAATTTTGATTGTGATTCATGATTGATTGGCAAGAAAAATAATTCCTATTGTTTTCCAGCAAGGTCAAAATGTTACAGCATGAGTTATAATGTCGAGTTTGCATCATGTTAAATTCTGCTAGTGATTAGAAGTCCATGCACAAGCACAAACACAAGAGACAAACACACCCAGGCTCCAGCCCGTGGATGGAAATATAAAACTATTTAAGGCACAAACTGGTATTAATAGACCGATATGTAGTGTCTGCCATGTATTGAAAGTAAACCAATCTGCATTATTAATGTTACTTCTATCAATACATGGATTGAGCAATGGAAAAGCAATGGCACAATCAAAAATGTGCATATCAATCGTGAATATCTCTCGGTTCAAAGCTTATTTCAACCAGAATCGTGTCAAAATATGTGTCTGAGTAACAGTTATACATTATAAGATCGCAAACTCTTACCAATTATTAGCCGAATGGCTTATTTTCAACGAAATGTCCTTAAGACAACAGCCCTGGGTCGCGCCTGAGACCAAAAACTGTTTCAAATATCCCTCCCCTAATTATATTGGATAATCACATTTATGCGTGCGCGCGCAGCTCATCCACTGAACGAAACGCCACTTCCCGCTGAAATCACCGGGTATTGATCTTTCCCTTGGTTCAAGATCATTTATCGCTAATCTTAATGTTAGACGTCACGCTAGCGCTATGACATAAAGTATTATCAAAACAATTTTTATAGCACATTCACTTACGAAAATTCCAGGTATGAATATTAGCAGGTACTCTCCTGCACCCCTGTAATGAAAACAACATTTTGCAACATTTATTCATTTTCTCATCTCCCCCTCAACTTACTCTTTGAAAACTAGATAACATAGTACTCCAGTTTGACTATAATTGTAGTAGATTATATGACAACTTGCAGATTCACAGATCACATTAACTTTTAGAATAAATAAGTTTGTAATACTTTTCTGATATAATTAATGATATGACAACCAAGCATTCGTGCAAATGATTTACTTAGCAACTTGATGATTTTGCCCTATGGCACGCAATAGACTCTCGGCATTCAGATGAAGGGGAACGAGCAACATGGCAGCAAGAAATATTATCACCAAACCTAAACAAAAATCACAAAGGACAACATTAAAGATTATTAAAATAGTTATTTTCAGCTTTGCCATAGGAGCTTCTAGTAAAGATAGGAAGGGCACAGAAGATAAACTTCCGTTAAGGCAATACAAAAATATTACACTATGTCTAGTCCATTATTTATAGTTTACCAGAAAAAAATTATTAAAAAATAAAAAGTAGCCGAGACAACACAAGTCCCAAGTCTGTATATTTACTCTATTTTTTATTTTCCCTATTTTTAACAAATAAATTATAATTTTATTCAACCAATAAAATTCTATGTTAGGGATTTCTCCTGGGAATATGTAGGCAAAAAGTGAAAAATGAGAGTAAATATACAGACTTGGGACTTGTGTTGTCTTGGCTACTAGTTATTCATTACGCGCTATATGGAAATGTCCATGGCCTCACAGTAAAAGAATTCTGTCTCAGAATGTGATTTGCATATTTAAAGCCGAGTAATCTCCAGTTGGGAGAAAAATTACATATTATATGTATGTATACATACTTCTTTGTAAATAAATTCCAACCATTTTCTTATTAGTTCCGCCATATGCCTGCAAATACGTAAAAATGTAAGCTCAGGTGCTGTAATATAATGATAGGAAAGGAAGAGGAAAGGAATAGGAAAACCGATCTAAATCTTTAAATTCTGATATTGCTCTATGTAAAATGTATCTGACATTTCTCACAATGTTATCCCCCTTCCCTATTAAAATTGCTATAACTATACTATTATACTATTTCAAGAAACTGATCGTCAAGTCAAAACTGTACGTTCTACATTGTTTGTAGATTGTGCCATGGCCCATGATTGTGCCAATTACTTATAAATCACCTCTTGTATGTTCACTGTTCCACAACTACTAGTAATGGATGAACTTCCTGGCTAGTGTTTTTTGTTTTCTCGATTTAAACCTCTATAATTTGGCACAAAGCTTTAAAAATGCTCTCGGTTTGAAATTCTATTTTTAAATTAAGCCGTAATTTTTGCATTTAGACCATCACGGTGTATAACCCAAACGCTCCTACATGCACGACGGAGCGTTTCATTACTGAAATTAAACAAAGAAACGCTCCGGAGTAGGAAAACTGTCTGGCGGGAATGATGAGCCGTCTGACAATTTCCCCAATAATGGGAATAAGAGGTATGAGTTACATATTTCGAGTATACCATTCGATGGGTGTGATATTCATGTTGTACGTGGCTGGCTGTTGACGTTTGAAGCAATTAGGAAGAGCTGTACGAAGCAGTATAGTTATCAAAATTCAAAAACGTATTTGTCATTCTACCGGTCAAAACCCCTTTTGTCGATACATGTGATTAGTTGAGCCAAGATTAGAGCACCAACGTATATTTTAGTCAAATTCCAATGCTTCAACGCACCATACATTATCGTAATAGTGATTTGATGACCGAAAATCCAGTCTTAAAAATGATGACATTCTCATATTCAAGAAACGCTCCGACCTGGTTAACACAGTGAATTGGAAACGCTCCGGTAGTCTAGATCAGTTAAGGAAATATATAGCTTGCCTTACCTTTTCAGGAAGAGAAAGAATAGATCTATTATACCCCTTGGCATCAATAGAAGAAAGATTAATTCACATATAACTTTTCGTTTTTTTCTATAGTTTTATGATTTAGCACATATGTAGGCATGACATCATCTAATGTATAGGCTTTAATCAGCTAGTTGCACGTTTAGCACCACCAGGTTCAGATGTTTCAATTTGCCTAACAAGTACAACACGTTTTTGAGAGATAGATTCGATTCGGAACTCTTCTCTAATAATCTGAAAATGATATCAAAACAAAATGGTAAGAGCGTTTCTAAAATTGTGGTCTAAATCGACGGAGCGTTTCGAGGAAAACAAGCGATTTCTCGAGAACAAGTAATGGATTTGGACTGGGATTTTAGGAAATGAGAATATACGAGTTTTTGATCTACTACTTAAACAGAAAGATTAACGTTTTCATAGAAATACTAGTTTAATTCGTAATTTGTGGTCAAATCGTCATCTTCAGATTCGTTCGATCTACACTACGGAGCTTTGATCAAGCAAATAACAGTTTACCACCAGAAGTTGAATAAATAAGATCTTTGCTCACGGTATTGTTCATCGAATGGTACATAATATTTCACTATGACATATGATATGTAAGAGAAACGAGAGAAACAATACTTACGGTCATAGTAGAATCTTCATTAGCCGCCATTTTATTTCGCTCCGGAGCGTTTCCGCGTAAATGTAACGCTCCGTCGTGCATGTAGGAGCGTTTGGGTTATACACCGTGACCATCGCTTTTGTTACATATTGACGTCATAACATACATTGGTAATATAATGGACTTTCGCCAATGTAACAAAAGCGAGGGACTAAATATGTGAATTGCAACTTCATTAACAAAACAAATTCCAAATAGAAGAAACTTATTAAAACTAGACTATATTTTCTTGCTTTGTGCCAAATTATAATCTGCAACTTGACTTTTAAGTAGGACAGGTTTAAATCGATAAAAATTCGTAACCAGGAAGTTCATCCGTCAAAGTAATTAGTTGGGGAACAGTGATGTGCAAATGTGTCTAGATTACCTGTGAAAAGAGAGTGTCACATACATTGACCAGACCAGTTCCTATACAAATACCAAACACATTGATCATCTGAAAACATAAGGCACTTTCAAAACAAAGTAAAAAGGTTTAATATATGAGCGATAAAATACACTAGAATATCTTCAAACTTTACACAGAGCCTGTAACTGTTACCCGTTTAACATGAAATAAATGATGAAATATATGTACTAATATGAAGTGCGTAGTCTTGCTCAAAGACTGTATCCACCCCCACCCCCCGTTACCTTCACTCTCTTTACCTGGCAATATACAGAGAGAAGAGAAAGGAGAGAAGGATAAAGGGGGGGGGGAGTACAGGGTCTTTAAAGCAAGACTATGAAGTGCGTTAAAGGCTTAAAGGAATATTCCTTGCCAAACCATCTCTCTCCTCATATGGTAGCTATAACCATATATATGCTTGCCATGTTTAGCAAAACACGCAAAAATGTTTTGATATGGTCAAATTTGATCACTTAGAAATGTGATGCTCAATTCCAGTAAGCTACCATCTTTTAAAATTTCACACAGGAAGTGATGTCATCGACTCTCAACTTTGCATATAGCATTAGGTGAGGAGCTATTAAAATTACAAAACCAGCTAAATATTCTTTTTCAACTTTGTATATTATTTAATCCTTCTGAAAATCTCTTCTTTTACTCTAAGTTGACAAGCCCTGAAAATATTTTTGCACAGAAAGTAATGATCACTTGTCTAGAAGTGATTTTGTGCTACTTTCCTATACTGTTATGGGCAAGGTAATAGAAGTTGAGAGTTGATGACATCACTTCCTGCAAGAAATCTTAAAAGATGGCAGCTCACTGGAAATAAGCACTAGATTTTTAAATGATCAATATTGACCATATTAAAACATTTTCCCATGTTTTGCTAAATATGGAAACTATATATATATGATTATAGCTACCATATCAAGAGAGAAAGGGTCTGGCAAGGAATATTCCTTTAACTTACGGTATCTGCCAAAGCTACTGCATCAAGCTCAATTTTGCCCAAGTGTCCACAAAATATCAGACTGATAGGGGCAATCAGAATCTGCCATAGCTGAGTAAGAACCTTAAGAGAATGATACAGTAAAGCATATAAACTCAATCATATAGGTAGGCTTTATATCTATAATACACAATCAAAATGTTATCAAATCATAATAGCCATTAGATTAAATAGAGTGTTTATTGACCGCCAAAAATGATCCTTTTCAAAAGGACCCGTATAAAATGCTTTAAACTTTCCTTAGGGAATACTTACTACAGGCCAGGCAAGCTTAATGACCTCTTTGAACTCATCCCAGTAGCCATGTTTAATCCCACAGCATCCCTGAACCATCTTGCAATTGAAGTCCAAATTGCTTAAACGCCACTACCTATTATTGGAGTGAAAGAGAAATGTGTCCTAAACTATCAAATTGATCTTAAACTGAGAGTTTCTGCAAGGCAAAAATTTCATTCTCACAATATTGAGACAATTGCTTACTATTATACAGAATAAAAAAGAAGGAAATATATTTATTTTATTTTTATGAATATCTAAAGATGTGCTGTAGTGTATCCGGGGTACTTTGTTTTGAATTCGATCTTCATTAATTTTTACCTGAAATATGTCCAGTATCCCTTCCTTCCTAAAAACCCATAGCGCCTTTTTAACTTGTAAACAAACCCGTGAATCAAGAAATTAAAAAGCACGAAGAGCAAGTCCTGGATAACCAAAATATTATACTTTACGTACCTGTTTCTGATTTCAACTCTAATATGATTATTTTAAGATCAAAGTTATGTATCTGTGTTTTATGTGCCAGATGAAACTGGTTTAAACTATTGGGTTCATTTTTTGATAAACGAATGGTGAAGAGCTTATTTGACATATGTCTCTGCACCACCATTCACAAGGGTGAAAACAAACCAAGTGTCACATCAGTGCACCATTAGACTATTGTTGAAATGTATTTCAATATGTGAATGCTTTGTAGGTTATTATTCCAACATAATATCGGTCCATAATTTTGCTTAGCAACCACCTAACAACGCGACGGCATACACATCAAATTAGTGAAATTGAATAATTGGGGGGGGGGGGGGGTAGGGGGAATAAAAATTATATTTATCAGAAATATGCCAAAAATTCATGAGTAATTTGTGAAGAAAACGCGATTCGCGAATACTTTGCGGTTAACTGTTTTTACCTTTAAAAATACATAAGATCGATTTTTATGAGATTTAGCATATTGAAAATTTATTGCTAAATAGTTATCTATCAAACAGTGCAATCATCATCACTTCCCATCAGCATCTAGCCGAATTTTAGGCATAGGATATATATCACCTCTTTATTGTTTTCATTTGAGTCCCATCGTGGCTCATCGAATCCCACGACTGTGGAAGAACATGTCAAAGTGAGCGATTGCAACCTACAATGGCTACTAAAGCGACAAAATCATTGTTTCCACCTACTCCTGTATGATATTGATATCAGAAAGGGGCTTAGATTACCAGTTAAAATAGAAGAATATATTTCATCAGTAATATACCCAATAATACCCATGCTTGATAACATCAATTTGGATAAAAAATGTTAAAAATGTTACCATTTGATCTTCCAAGCCTTGAAGGCAAACATATTAGACATGTTAGAAGTTTGGCCGAGCTGAATTTTTTTAATCGACATAGTTTGATGGAAAACAAACAGCAAATTGAATGAATTATTTCAAAACGTTCTAGATTGACGTATTTAAATGTAATATGTCTGTTATATTTTTATTCAATTAACAATAGTTTTTGGCTCACACAGAGCCTATGATATTGACTAGGCGTCCGTCCGTTCGTCCGTCAACATTGGCCGCACAAATTAATTAAAACTGCGTTTCGTATTAAGTCATATCAACCTTCATTTTATGTATAACCATAGTGGTAGACTGTAAATCTAGTAAATCTAGTAAAACTAGTAAATCTAGTAAATCTAGTAAATCTAGTAAAATCTTGTAAAATCTTGTAAAAACTTGATTATTCAATGTCTAAGATATAAAGTGCAAATGTCGAAAAAGCACTGAAAATGCCTTTGTATGAATGAAATGAACATGTAGAAAAAATTCTACCTTTTATTTCATTATATTTAGTTACAAAACAACTATATGTTAGTACTGGATAACAAATGGTACACCCATTTTATCATCATACACAACCCACCCAAGAAGCATGCTCTATTAACAAATTAAGCCACACATTTAAGGACTGAGGGGACAATGCCACCCTATGCAGACAGAGCCTGTGGGAAATATTGGATGCGGAGCAAATGAGCGGAGGGTGCGGAGCTAACGGTCATTTTTGAATTTAAATTTGGGATATTTCTGAAACTAAGCCGTTTTGGGACTTCAAATATACCAAGATATGTGTATTTGACACCAAATATCAATACAATTGTGAAAATAGTAGCGCAATTCATTCTATAGCGACGCAGTGTGCCTTAAACCTTTCCCAGACCTATATATTTTGAAATTATCCTTTTAATACTGAGTCCCCAGCATTCATAAAAAATGGTGTTCAAGGTACACTATCTATACAAATTATTTTTGCATCTTGGAAGCCAGGCAGTATCTGTGTGATTTTATAAAAATTCGGAAATGTTCTTCAGATATGAGCCCCAAGATGGCTTCCAAGATGCAAAAATAATTTGCAAGGTAGTGTATCTTGAACACCATTTTTTATGAATGCTGGGGACGCAGTATTAAAAGGATAGTCTCAAATATACAGTTGGACGGCACATTGGCTTAACCCATCAGCTTTATGACGTGCACTTCCGCGTGGGACTATATCTTTACAACGGGAATTTCAAGTTTTTGTCAGTGTAGACATAAAAAGTTGCGGTCCTCTTACTCGCACAGTTTTTAATATTTTCATTTGAAACTTGCAGGAACGGTGCTTTGAATCTAGCTCTCTACTCTTTGAAAACGTCATGTAGAATCAAAACAGTTAAACTATTTATTTTTTGTCGTGAAAATATTATTTTTTTAGTTTATTTTTATTTTACAACTTTTTGGGAAAAAATGTAACAAATTTTTATCTCTTGTCATATTTATCCGATATTTTGTCATCATGAAATTCGAGATTCCTTTTAATGATGGTGCAAGTTTCATAACAATTGATGAATTTTTATTATCAGTGTTATGTTTTCCAAAAACGGTGTACCACAGTGCATGTTTCTTTAATTGACGGCACATTTGCCTTTAATTGGGCGAACGTACAGGTCCCGACGCAATAAGCTTTATTTGATTTAATACACTCAAAAATAAAGTTTGCTATCAAATCAGAATGTTCATAAAACATAAACCTTGCCTTTGTTTTCCCAATTCTAAAAGCAGGCCAAATAAACTATGATAATCGTTTGACTCTCGAGACTACAGAACTTGAACTTGAACATACTAAAATCGAAGTTACCTATGGTTACGCTTGTAAAGTTAATTATATGTTTAACGGCGTGCTGAGTGAATGTATCTAATCAAATTTGTGACATACCCATAAAATCGTAGATCACAATTCTAAGTTTAAAATGTAATTTGGATTCGTAAGAAGTATTTCTGTTTTAAACTTACCTTTGCTGTCTGAAAAAGATCAATATCCATAGACGGGGATGTTGAAACCTATATTTCCTTTGAATGACCTGCATTTGTACTACGAAATGATCCTGTGGAGAAAAGTTGATGAATTCCAAACAGCTAGTTCTAGCAAATCTACTAGTATAAGCTTACTTTCTAAAAGTATTTCAATGTTAAAAATGTCTATTGATATGTTTCATTTTTAAAATGATCTTTTGCTTCCTTTAACTTATGTTTGTGACTTAATGAAGAATGCTGTTTACCACATCAAACTTAAGACGTAAACTTGGCAATTACTCGATACATGTTATAACGCAATTTTCTTTCATTTTCTACAAAAATGGTATGTTTTCGAACGGTCACTTATGTTAATCTATGACCATGGTATGTTTGAAAATGAAAGAACTGAACCAAGTATTGTCGACTCGGTTGAATCATAAGTTTTATTTTGATTGATTTAATCTCTTCTTGAATTTTAAAACTTTTGTCCGAATTACATCTGCTATGGAATTAAAGTTCAAATATACCTCAGAATTGCTTATTGAATTAACCTAGCAATTAATTTGAAAATAATTCTTTACATAGGTTATATATCATAGATATGTAAAAAATAAAAATGTGTTTTGAAAGATGAATTGGTAACAAACGTTTTCGTACACGTGCCATTCTTCACCTTCAGCCCACTTAAAGCACGAAATCCCGTATGACGTAATATAACGAAAATGCGCAGATAATTGATATTTTCCTTAATTTTAATTCAACTCACATTGACCTTTCTTATTTAGAACGTGTTTAAAGTTCTCATGTTAAGAAAATAAATATGTGGAAAGGCAATGGTTTAAAGCTTATGAAAATGTAAAAATCATAATTCAGTTTTTAAAATAAGATATTGACATGCATTCACGCACATGTGACATTATCTCTTTTTGTGCGATTCAAACATAAAAAAATCTCATTACAGTTATACATATGAACCAATCTTAGCCATGCCTTTCTAATAGAAGGAACTAAATTTGAATCAAAAAATAATTCTGTGTAAAGATGATTCCCCATAGATATAATAAATGTCAAAAATGTCAAAAAATTATCAAAAATCAAATACTTACATGCTTTTAAGCACACTGACCTTTTCTTGTTTTGCTCATTTCATTTACCTTGAAAACCAAGGAGACCGAACGCAATTGCTATATACAACCTTGATATGTGTACCAAATCTATAATTGCATTTTCTCATGGAAGGAGCCAAGCAAAAATTATAAAAATAATTCTGCGTAGAGGTGATGCTTCACAAATAATATTAATGTCCAATAATTAATTCAAGTTCAGTCAGCTTGAAGCTAGGAAGATGTTTGAATTATTGAATTAACCCCCTCCCCAACTTCATTAATTAATTCATTTCTTCAAAATTAAATACTGACACGCATTTACGCACACATGACCTTTTCTAGTTTTGCTTATTTCATTTACCTTGAAAACCAAAGAGACTGGACGCAATTGCCAAATACTTCTTTGATACGCGTGCCAGGTCTATAATTGCATTTTCTCATGGAAGGAACCAAGCAAAAATTATAAAAATAATTCTATGTTAAGGTGATGCTTCACAAATAATATTAATGTCAAAACTTTAATTCATTTCTTCAAATCCAAATACTGACACGCATTTACGCACACGTGACCTTTTCTCCTTTTGCTCATTTTATTTATCCTGAAAATCAGTGAGCCTTAATACATTGTTCGATACTTCT